GAGGTGCTCGGCCTGGAGTACTACGCGTTCGGCAGCGGCACGCACGCCGTGAAGCTGATGGGCGTCACGCAGCTGGACAGCACGCCGGAGGAGTCTCTCGTCTGCCGCGAGGGGACCCGCAAGGACGGCGCCAGGTGCATCCAGGTGTGCCATGCGGAGTGTGAAGGTAAGACACAAACATGTGCATCCAGGTGAGGCACAAACAGGTGCATCCAGGTGTGCCATGTGGAGTGCGAAGGTAAGACACAAACAGGTGCATCCAGGTGAGGCACAAACAGGTGCATCCAGGTGAGGCACAAACAGGTGCATCCAGGTGAGGCACAAACAGGTGCATCCAGGTGAGACACAAACAGGTGCATCCAGGTGAGACACAAACAGGTGCATCCAGGTGAGACACAAACAGGTGCATCCAGGTGTGCCACGCGGAGTGCGAAGGTGAGACACAAACAGGTGCATCCAGGTGAGGTACAAACAGGTGCATCTAGGTAAGACACAAACAGGTGCATCCAGGTGAGGCACAAACAGGTGCATCCAGGTGAGACACAAACAGGTGCATCCAGGTGAGACACAAACAGGTGCATCCAGGTGAGACACAAACAGGTGCATCCAGGTGAGACACAAACAGGTGCATCCAGGTGTGCCACGAAGAGTAAGAAGGTGAAACAAAAAGAGTCACCATAGTTCTGTAAATCGCAAGATTGGAAGATGTGATGAAATGAAAGAAACAGGGCAGGATGACAACTGCTAGGAATCTTTTTTTTTTGTTCCTCTTTTTCTTTTTTTCGCGCTCTCGCATTAGATTTGGGGTCTCCGGAGGACGTCATCCATAAAATCACTTGGTGCGGCTTAACAGTTTTTCCTCACACTTGGCATCTGTCCGTAGGCTGCCGGACCACCGGTTCAGACGACCCTCGCGACTGTATCGGGTGCCTGAACCAAGAAGGTGCCTTTCCCCTACCTGGACGGGGTGGTGGGAGACTTTGAGTGTGTGGCGGACTGCCCTGACACCATGTATGCGCCCGCAGGGTCCTCAAGCTGCGAATGTGAGTTGCCTTTCAACCTCCCTGCTTTTCCAAACAGTTTTAGTTGAACCTAAGGATACTAATCTGTAATTTCTACACTACAACAGCACCCATGTAACAACCTCCCTGAGGTCTACCCTTGGAACATGACGTCATCGACGTGTCCGTAGTAGCGAGTCTTACGTGCCAGATAACTTGTGTCGTCCCCCGTCTAAGTGTTGGGAGTTCTAGCTCAGTCTTTATTTCATGATGACTTGTACCAACACAGATGAACTTTCATGCTGTAACATGTTTGTCTCCCTAACACACAGGCATCAAACCTGTGGCATGTTTGTCGCCCTAACACACAGGCATCAAACCTGTGGCATGTTTGTCGCCCTAACACACAGGCATTAAGAGGATGGATGCCATCACAGCACAGGGCGTGGTCACGTGTGTGGCGGAGTGCCCTCTGACTCACTATGACGACAACAACGTCTGCAGAAGTACGTGTCACAATTTTTCTTCGTAAAGTTTCGACAATAACATACACAACAGGGGTACTTAAAAAGGATACAGGAATACTTAAAATGGTAACACTTGTGGAAGCTGTAGGGCAGTTGGTAACTCCAGTTTGTGCCGGCAGTAAGACCAGTGGTAACCTCAGTTTGTGCCTGCAGTAAGGCCAGTGGTAACTCCAGTTTGTGCCTGCAGTAAGGCCAGTGGTAACTCCAGTTTGTGCCTGCAGTAAGGCCAGTGGTAACCCCAGTTTGTGCCTGCAGTAAGACCAGTGGTAACCCCAGTTTGTGCCTGCAGTAAGACCAGTGGTAACTCCAGTTTGTGCCTGCAGTAAGGCCAGTGGTAACTCCAGTTTGTGCCTGCAGGGTGCAGCAGTTTCTGTGACGATGTAAGTGACAGCGGGGACCGAGTGTGTACCGGGCCGGAGGTGGACCAGTGCCACACGTGTCTGTACCGGGACGTGGACGGGGCCTGCACGTCCGGCTGTAACCCGGGGCAACAGGCGGTGGCGGGAGCGGCGGAAGGTGGGTAGAGGTTACACTACCGTACTCTCTTCTTGATCTTGATCTTGAAACTGTACTGCGCAGGGGAAAGTGCGCAGTAGGAGATATCCCCTGTCCCCCCATTTCCCAAAGGATGCGGGGGGACAGTTTGTTAAGAAAAGCGCAGCGGACGGCACGTTCACTCTCGCGAGTGTCTGCGACGATTGAGACGTAACATATCTAACGCAACGTAAAATACGTAACATACGTTACGTAAACGTGCTGCGTTTTGATGCGTTTATTACGTGTGGGACTTACAGACCTAGATTAACGTAAAGGACGTACTTGTGCTACGTTAACGTATACCTATGGCATCATTTCCGTGTCAAAATCACATATTTAAAAACGTGACGTTTTGAGGTCTACACGTCACGTTTTTTGTCAATACGTCACGCATGCTAGGTCAACATCCCGTGTTTGGGAGAGCCACATAATCTCCAAGCAGATCCCTCTCGCTGGCAAAAAGACAGTCAAATTGGCCAGACAGTATCCATTAGCCAGAGAAACTCCATTAGCCACCGACGGGATCAGGACAAAAAAAAAACCCGGCCATATATAAAAAGGTAACGATCATTCCCCACAACCTCTGCTTGGAGATGAAGAGCCACACCCCACGCACGTTAAAGAACCCACCACACTTATCGAAAAGAGTAGGGGACCTCCCGGTGTGACTGATTCAAACCTTACACCCCGGTCTTACGCAGCTTGTACATGTGTGTACATGTACAAAACTGGTGTGTTAAACCTAAAGCGGTTTACCGGTTATGCAAAAAAACAAACAAACAAACAAAAAACAACATATGGCACAACGAACAGACGCGTTATGTCCATGTGGCTCTGCAATGCATTACCGTGTCGTTTGTTTTCAAGGTCCTCCAGTATTTCTGTGGAACCTGAGGTATGCCTGTACTATATGCCTGTACCGCCTCAACACACAACGTGCTGCCCTGCGTTGAACTGCCCCAAGTCTGTCGATGTCTAGTTGGGTATGGGGATCCCATACAGCTGTGTACTCTAGTATGGGACGTACGTAGGTCTTGTAGGCCATGTCTTTGATGCGTCTAGAACTGATCTTCAGGTTCCTCTTCAAAAAGCACAAGGTCTTATTGGCTTTGTTGCACAGGTTGGTGATGTGCTCTTCCCAGGTGAGGTCTTTTGTGATGGTTACGCCTAAGTACTTGACGCTAGAAACCGTCTCCAAGGTATGACCGTGGAGATGGTAGTCGTACTGGAAGACGCTCCTACTGCGAGTCACACGAAGGGCCTGACACTTTCCAGGGTGAAACGCCATGCCCCACTTTTGCCCCCATTCAGCAAGCCGTTCCAGGTCTTGTAGAAGCACTACCTGGTCCTGTGTAGAGGTAATGGTGTTGTACGCAGCAGTGTCATCTGCGAATAGGCGTGATGATGAGGTCAGGACAGACGGCAGGTCGGTGATGTAGATCAAGAATATCGAAGGCCCCAAGACTGAGCCTTGTGGGACACCTGATTTCACACTAACGAAGTCGGAACGCTCAACGTTGACTACTACCGCTTGGGTTCTGTCAGTGAGGAAAGCTGTGATCCAAGCACTGATCTCTCCACGGATGCCGAAATGGCGGAGTTTATGTTGTAGCAGACTGTGGTTAACCTCGTCGAAGGCTTTAGCAAAGTCCATCACCAGGACGCCCGTCTGACGTCCACTCATCATGTTCTCAAACAGCCCTTCCGTGTTCTCTTCTAAAACTGCTTACCTGCTTACTACAGATTGGGATCTTCCAGCGAGTTGCCCAACAAATGATCAGCTCAGTCTCCCCAATGACAAAAGCTACGTGGCGCCATCCGACGAGCAGGTCGACTACGCCACGGCCCAGGCGAGATGCGCCGCGGAGGGAGGGACGGTCGCTCTGCCGATGGACTCTCACGAGCAGGAGTATCTTGTGTTTTTCAAGAACTGTCTAAACCAGTAAGAATCATGTTTTCCATCACTGTTACACCATATAGTACATGAACAGTTCATTATTGGTTCATTATGAAACAGATTATCTCAGACAGTTACAATAATTTCTCCATCCTTTCGTCATTTAGAAGATCACCAAAAAACTGCATTTCTACTAAGATCACAAAACCCACTAATTATGCAGAATATGGAACTATTCATTATCCACTGCTTTCAAAGAAGAAGTCGAACCCCGTAATAGCTAGCGTAGTAGTAGAAGTAGAAGTTTTTTTCCAGACAGTTGTTACCTGTCTCCTGTTACTGTATTGCAATGAGTATTATACTTGACCTTAAAAGCAATTAGCCTTCGGGCATGATTTTGCGAATAAAGTTTCATTATTAAGTTAAAGATTAAATATGATTTTAAAACATTTAGCCACAGAGAGTACCTTATCATGAACTCTACAGCATCTCTACAGCAGCTGGCTAGTCCACTGGCAGTGGTGTGTGTTTAACTCACGACCTACCAAATGCAAGGCGTCTAGTCACTCTACCCACGTGACCATTGCACTAGTACTATATGCTAATAGACACACCCTACTCCTTTATAAGACCTTGAAATACATTCACCATTAAACATTGTATCAAAACAGTACAAAACGGGTGTAAAAGGGAAATGACATTTCTCTCGTGGCATCTTACAGAAATGCTCAGTTTTGGGTCGGACTAAGTAGACCAGACGGAACGTGGGTTGACAGCCAGGGTAGCGCGCTCGGCGGGTTCACTGCCTGGGCGCCCGGGGAGCCCAATGATGGAAACCGCTGTGCCCATCTTGTGTTTGGAGCAATGTCCGACAGTGAACGCAGAAACAAGTGGGCGGACGCAGGATGCGGCAATAGGTTCAGATACATTTGTGAAACCAGTAAGTTCTGTGGGATATCCGTCATCAGCGTCAGTTTATTGCCTTGCTGTCACATTGTTACAGCACATGATATAAAGGTGTCAAACACAAGTGCTTCTTTAAATCAGTCTCTTGACAAAGTAATTTATTTTTAATGCATTGTCAATGAGCGAATATTCTCTTACTGTCACGACCAATTCTTTGTATATATGACGCTCCTCTTTTATTGATTATTGTTCTACATTTTAATCATGTACTGTATTGTGCTATTGCGCTACCTTTTAACCCTATATATCGCCAACCATTATATTGTACCTTTATGCAATATTGATCCTAATTCAGTGTACTCCACTGCGACATCAATAAAGCCAATCTGAATCTGAATCTGATAAGTTAACATAACGTGATAACTACGTTAACGTTAACCTGCGTTACGTTAAAGTTAACGTTACGTAGACATAACCTTTGATATTACCTAACCGTAAGTTATTTAGACACGAAAATTAAAGTACATAACGTACCAGTACGTCACCCTTCCCACTACTACCCCCCACCCCCA